ACACACACACACATATATATACACAATTTTTTTTCCCTTTAAAATTGTTTTACCCTGAAAGTCTGTTTTCTCAGGTATCCAAGTTGGTTCATTTATGTTCTTGTCTATAATCTGTTGACAGTGTGAGTGTCCAGGTGTAAATTCTTCCACTGCAGGCAACAGAGAGTTATGAACATCTGAAGAGTTTTGCTGCTGATAAGTAACTTGTGTTGAAGGAACTACAGAACTTAAAATATCTGTTTCCTCTTTTTTATTGGTGATAGATTCTTGTTCCTGGTAGTCCACATACTCTGAAAATGGCTCTGAAATTTGAATTTAATGAAAATTTTTAATTAACACTGTGTTCCTTTTGACCGCTGGGTGCTTCTTTTTTCTGAGACAGGGATTCACTGTGCAGCTCAGGCTGGCCTTGAACTCACTATACAGCCCAGGCAGGCCTCCTACCTCAGCCTCCTGAATGCTGGGATTACCATGCCCAGTTGGGTGCTTCCTTGGAAACATAACTTGGTAGATAAGTATGGCAATATATACTGCTAACAGATCAGTGCAATCAAGAGTTTTCATAAGATAAAATTCCACTGAATGGGAAAACTGGACATTAGCAATGTTTCTCATGTTGTTAGGGATCTATAGAGTACTGTGTAACTTCTAGTCACTTTTAGAAGACCATTATTCTATTAGACGCTGGCACTTTATTTTCCAGATTTAAAGAAACTCTCTTTTTCCCCATTGTGTTGTGAAAAAGCAATGTTTCCTTCCACTACCATACTGTAACTCAACTGGGGTTGGACTTTCAATCTGTTTACATTTTGATATTATTACCTGGATCTGTAAGGCTCAAATTTGTGTTTTCATAACTTAAAAAACTGCCAGTAGAAACAGATATTGAAGATAATGGCTCATGAGAAATATCTTGTGTTTCAGCCTAAAAATTAAAGAGAAATATTAGACCATGATGTGTCAAGAAGTACAGTATCTGGAAAACTCAAAATCACCAACCTTAGCAGCTGTCAATTCTGAGCTCAGGTCAAGTGTAGAAAGAAACCTTCATGGTTACAAAGGTCAGTAGTAAAACCTTTTTCATCATTGCTCAGAAATGATTAGCCTTACGCACACACAAGAGTCTCCAATCTCACTGACCCATCAGAATACCCTCAGTTAAATTTAATTACCTTACAAACATCCATGCATGCTCACGGACACACACACACACAGACACACACACAAACACACACACACAAGACATATCCCTTACTATTTTAAGTTATTTTACAGATCTGCTTCTCAGAACTATAGAGATCATGCATCAGGGAGATTGGAAGGTCTTCTGATGCTCAGATTTGGCTATTTTTCATCACTGATCCACTTCAATAAGAGCAGATCTCAGAGAACATAGTTTTTCAGTAAACTAAAGAGAATATGATACCACATTGCTCTAAAAACAGAACATGAGAAAATATCACTAACCTTATCATCTGGCCTCACTGCTGGACCCAGGCACATGTGCTCTGCCTCCTCTGTGGCATAACTTAACACAGCATGATTCTCAACGTCAAATTCCTTGAACTTGACTAAAAAATGAATTTGGAGTTCAAAATGTGAAGAAAAAAATTTGTTTTGTTTTTTTTTGGTACTGGGGATCGAACTCAGGATCTTGTGCTTGCGCGGCAGGCACTGGAACCACTGAGCTAAATCCCCAGCCCTAAGAAAAAAAATTTGGATTAGGACAAATTAAATTATTAGCATCAGAGGGTACTAATCCCAACTTTCCTGTTTTGGTTCTTAAAGTTGCCTTATCTTAGACCAAAGGGGAAAAAAAAAGTCATTTCCTTTTTCATTTAAGACACTAGGCAAGACTCACTCCTTTTTTTTTTTTTTAACTGTAGTTTTCACTGTTACTACATGAATAAAACCCTTTGAACATTATGGGAAATATTCTGTTCCATTATGTGGAAAAGCAAGAATATTCAATCAAGAACACAGTGTGATCTCTAAGGGGATAAAAGGCACATTAAAAAAAAGACAATGAAGAACACCAAGCTACAAACAGTAATTGGTAATGAGTAATAGGACAAGGAGTAAATTTAACTTCTTTTTCTTTTTTCACATGGAGATTTCTGTGTTGCCTAGGTTGGTCTTGAAATTCTGGGCCACAAGCAATCCTGCTTCAAGTCCTGTCTGGAGCTGCTGGGACTATAGGCCTGAGCCACCAAAACCTGACTTAATTTTTATATTTTTTATGTTGAGGCTTGAACCCAGGATCTAGTGGACACTAAGTACTCTACCACTGAGCTATATTCCCAGTCCCAATTTTTACTTCTTTATATCTTTTAGTGCTAAGGTCAAAATAAACATATTTTGTTTAGTAATATATTATCATTTCTAATTATATTTGACATATTAGAACATATATAAAAATTATACTATGTCACTTTTTTATTAGTACAGAATATTTCATTCTTGTGTGGAGCCCCACATGCGCACATTTACACATCTTAACTCCTTTTTTCAACTTCTTTCCTCCATTGCTCCTATTCTCTTTTTTTTTTTTTGGTACCAGGGATCAAACTCGGGTCCTTGCGCTTGCGCAGGAGGTGGCAAAACCACTGAGCTAAATCCCCGGCCCATCCTATTCCCTCTCTTGATCCCCTTCCAATTTTGGGAAGGATCTATCACCCTACTTATTATCTATCTTTATCTATTATCTCTCTATAATTTGGGTTTCTCATATAAAAGAAATCATGTGATATTTAAGCTTGTTTGTCTGGTTTGTTTCACTCAATATTATAGTCTCAAGGTGTACCCATTTTTCTACAGATGACTCAAGTTTATCTTTCTTTATGCCAGAGTAGTACTCCATTGTGTGAATATACCACATTTTCTTTATCCATTCATCGTTGATGGACATATAGGTTGCTTCCAAGATTTAGCCACTCTGAATTGTGCTGCTATAAACATGGGTATGTGTGTGTCACTGCAATACATGTCTTTAACTCTATGGAAGATACCTAGAAGGGTCAAATGGAATTTCTATTTTCAGTTTTTTGCAGAATCTTCATACTGATTTATATAGTGGTTTTAGTAGTTTACATTCCCACCAACAGAAGCCCTCCAACCCCCCTGCAGCCTTGTCAGCATGTGTTATTTGACTTCTTGATGACAGCCATTCTTTCTGGGGTAAAATGGAATCTCAATGTTGTTTTAATTTGTATTTCTCTAATGGCCAGCGATGTTGAACATTTCTTCATGTATTTATTGGTCATTTGTATTTCTTCTTCACTGAAGTGTCTATTCATTTCATTTGCCCATTTTTGATTGGGTCTTTATTTGGGAGGGCCTAATTTTTTTGAGTTTTTTGTATATTCTAGACATTATTCCTCTGTCTAAGGAATAGCTGGCAAATTTTTTCCCCCCATTCTATAGACTGTCTTTCTACTCTGTTGGTTTCTTTTGTTGTGCAGCTTTTTAATTTGACATGATCCCATTTGTTCATTCTTGGTACTATTGCATGTACAACCAGGTTTTGTTTTGTTTTTTTGAGACAGGGTCTCACTATATAGTTCAGCCTGGCCTCACGGCGATCCTCCGGCCTCAGCCTCCTGTGTGCTGGGATTACAGGTATGTGCTACCATGCCTGGCTTCAACCAGGTTTTTTTAACCCTCCCCCTACCCCCCAAGCACTGGAGATTACTGAAGACTGAACTCAGGCCCTTCACACTGATCAATGAGTGCACATCCCAAGCCCAGTATTTTAGTGTCTTGCCAAGTTGCCCAGGCTGACTTTTGAGCCTCTTGGCCCAGTTGCCCAGAGTGCTAGGATTAAAGGTGAGCAACACCACATACAGCCTGTGCTACTAATAATGTTCAGGCATTCTGAATTTATGGGAAAGCTGGCTAAGGCATACAGTCATCTGTGGTTCTGAAGCAGAATAATAAAACTGCTGCAGTGCACATAAAGTTTCTGACTCATGATTACCATGTTATTATAAAAGATCAGTATACATTAGTGCCAAGTTTCTTAAATGTTTAAGAAGTTATTTTAAAAATGGAACTCCAGTCCACAAACACTTGTACATATATACACCTACATGTCTATTAGTGTATGTGTGTATATGGAGATATAAACAATATTTGTATCATGCTTAATTAAAGCAAAAGCAAAGGGAATAGTAAAGGCAGTGCTTTGTGCATGCAAAGCAAGTACTCTACTGTTGAGTACATTTCTGCCCGTTTTTAATTTTATTTTGAGACAGGGTCTCAACTAAGTTGCCCAGATGGGCCTTAACCTTGCAATCCTCCTGCCTCGGCCTCTAATCATTTGCCTTTAAACATAATCTTTTTTTTTTGGTACTGGGGATTGAACTCAGGACCTCCCCGGCCCTAAATATAATTTCTTACTCTTATCTTATTCTGGTTCATTAAAAAATATATTATCGTGACCTAAGTGATTTAACTATTGTCATTTGGTTGCTTCTCTACATGCTAAATTTCAAAGAAAATGTGAGATGGTAAAATTTTATTCTGAATATTTATTATCTCTTAAATGGCTCATTTCAAAAGCAAGCTGGGAGATGAGAAGTTAATCTAGGGTTTCTCAGTTCGATTAATCATAATTATGTGGTGTTATCTATAACATACCTTCAAATCTACCCTACAGAAAAGCTGAGTGAACGGCGTAGCATTTGTGTAGTGGTAAGAAGTGAAAAATGAAAGTAAGAGGAAGAAGCAAGGCCAGAATTACTTGAGATGTTAAAAAATTCAGGAGAAAGGTCCCTGAAAGGTGAAAAAGAAGTGGCATCAGTTGGAATATAATAAACTCATAACAGGGACACATGAATATGTTCCTAAAAAGAGTGAAAGCAACACCTTAAACAGTTATCTTCCCATGACGTGCATAATTCACCATATCGGGCTTTCCAACAAAAACAAAGGATACAAAGCTTGAAGTTAGTATTCCACCTTAAAAGCTACTAAGAAATCAAGGTGTGGAGGCAGTGGCAGGGAAGAAACAGACAGGTAAAAAAATTTAGGTCATTTCAAAAGAGAAAATATCCAAATCTGGGGATGGCTATGAGAAAGAGAAAAGCAGCCAGCCCCTTGCCAGTCAGGGGCTGACCTGGCCCTGTTGCTCTCCCATTAAACACCAACAATTGGACTGGGGATTTAGCTCAGTGGTTCTGCCACCTGCCTTGTAAGCGCAAGGACCCGAGTTCGATCCCCAGTACCAAAAAAACAAAACAAAACAAAAAAACCCAACAATTTCACAGAATGCCACTCTATGATTTAGAGTATCACAGATAATTTTTATGGTATTTCACAGTACTGTTTAATTTAAAATGCAGATTGTTACACATAGACTTAAACACAAAATATGTAGAGCTGCCAAATATATAACTCTACCCTCGGGCCAGGGATGTAGCTCAGCGGCACAGTGCCTACCTGGCAAACATGAGGCCCTGAGTTCAATTCCTGGTACCAAAAGACAAAACAAAGCAAAACAAGAAAACCTCTACCCTCATATACTTCCTATTAGTACTTAATGAGATAATTTAAGAGCAAAATTCACTTATTTTCTCTATAAACTTCACTTCTCTCATTCAACTTTTTCTGTAAAGAAACAGGTGCCTAATTTCTTAAAAATCTACAATACATGAACATATAAAATAGAAAGTGAAACCTCGTCTCCAACAGCTATACCAACATTTTGATGATTATCATTCTAGATAATTTTCTATGCTATTTCCTAAGCACAGATTTTTTTCTCCTTCATTATTATTGCTTTTTTTTTTAACATGGTAATTTCTTTTTAATTGACATCTAAGTACACACTTCACCTGGGCTACACCCTCAGCCCTTGCCTTCATTACTTTTTTTTTTTGCAGTACTGGGGATTGAATGCAGGAAATGCTGAGCTAAATCACTAGCCACTGTTTTTTTTGGATACAGTGATTAAGTTGCCCAGGCTGGCTTTGAACTTGCAATCCTCTTGCCTCAGCCTCTCAGAGTGCTGAGATTACAGGCATGTGCCATGATGCCCAGTCTTTTCCCCCACCCCTACATCGTTACTTTTTTGGGGGCTTTTTTTGGTACCTGGGATTGAACTCAGGTCCTTGAGCTTGTGAGGCAGGCGGGGGAACCACTGAGCTAAATCCCCAGCACCCCGTTACTTTTTAAAACAGCAAACGACAACAGAATATAGGTGTGATTTGTGATTTAATTACCCATAGTCACTGAGCTTATTTGACAGTATTATAATCCTACAAATATATATCCTTTGGCCCATATATCTTATGCACACAGTCTCACTGTTAACTAATTTATCTCTCACCTGCTTCATCATCGTAGTGATCACCACAGATGCGTTCCTGAATAGTTGGTTGAAGACAAACAAATGAATCACTGGACAGTGGGCTCCCAAGGAAACTCTGTTCTCGGCTTACTGAGACCCTCAAGGGATCTCTACCTTGATAAAACTCTGGTTTACCTGAAAAGAAAAATGACTCATTAAATTTCCCCTTAAGTTTCTAGATCTGGCTAAAACTAAAATGGCAATTTACATTAAGGAAAAATTAAACTGCTAAAGATCTGATTAAGTAGCAAGAAAATAGTAATAGCTTATTGTTCAGTCAGGCCTTTAAATTATTTTACTTCACTTTTACTGTTTTTAATGGTACCCTTATTTCCTAATAGAAGATTATACTTCAGTATTGAATAGTCACACACAAAACAATGCCTGAAAAATGTTTTGGTACCGGGGATTGAACTCAGGACCTTGCACTTGCAAGGCAGGCACTGAGCTAAATCTCTGGCCCTCAAAGAGCTGGCACTCAGCCCCCACTTTAGGGGCCAGTGGACCCCTCCTCCCCATGGCAAGGCAGGAAGGAGGGAGACTCTTGCTCAATAGTGTTTTAATATACATTCATAATGTATATGACGTTCAAAGAAAGCCACAATGATCTAAATGTGATGGCACATTCCTATAATCCCAGCACAAGCCCAGCCTGGACAATTTAGCAATACTTAGCCTGAAAATAATAATAAAATAAAATAAAATAAAAAGAAAGGGGCTAGGGATGCAGCTAAGTGTATAGGCCCTAGGTTCAATCCTTAGTACATTAAAAAGAGAAAGAAAAACAAAAGCAAAAACCCTCCACGCAAAAACTGTCATGTAAGAACTTAGGGGTTAGAAGAAGGGCCCAGTAATTTATTAGAGGAGGCTTTAAAGGGTTCTCTAATTTTTGAGGTCTTGACCTGGGTGTGATTTCACAATTTAAGTGTTTCATCTGATTTTAATGATATGATTTGTGTACCTCTCTGAAAGTAATACTTTGATGCAAAAATAAAAAGTAGCTATGTTTGGTGGCACAAGCTTGTAATTCTTGTTATCTGGGAGGCTGAAGTAGAAGGATTAGTTTGAAGGTAGCCTGGATAATTTAGCAACATTCTGTCTCAAGATAAAAAGAACAAAATAAAAAGGGCAAGGACGTATCTCTAACTGAAAACAGAAAATACTGTAACTACAAACTTGAACAGTTGGAGGTTCTGGTATCCCGATAGCCCTGTCCTTCATATTACCCGCAGAGGAGATTAAAGGTTTATTTTCTGGAAAGACTGACTCCAATGCACTGTGAATTCAGGGGGATTAGGCACAGAAAGAAGGCAAGGGTGGACAGGGGTGATGACTGCCATGAAGACACCAAGGGTATCGAGGGAAGTCTGCTTTAGCATCCCAGATCTGCCAGACCTGGATCTGTGATGGCAACAGTCAGGCCGTGCTTGTGTTAGAGCATCTTTCTTTGAAGGAAAAGAACTACAGCTGTTAAGCTGAAAGTTCCTGATGAAAAATTCACACCCTTTCCAATGAAATCCAATAGTAAATAAAAAGCCCTCACCTGTAAAACTTTCAATTAGCCTTTTAGCATTCTATTAATATAATACATGTAAAATAGCAGAGGAAAGTCTTCTGAAGATGCACAAAAAATTTAAAATACAGAAACCAAACAAATATTCTGCATCTATGAAACAAGAGCAGGATGTTAGGAAAAGGGAGGGAAAAACCAATTTTCTAAAAACTACAATTTGTTTATTTATTTTTGAGACAGGGTCTTGCTCTGTAGTTCAGGCTGACCTTGAACCCACTATGTAACCCAAGCTGGCCTCAAACTCTTGGCGATCCTCCTGCCTCAGCCTCCCATGTGTTGGGATTACAAGCATGTGCCACCACGCCTGGTCTAAAAATTTAATAACCAAAATAAAAATTCAGAACAAAAGTTAGAAAAAAGGAATTATCAAAATCTGCATGGAAAGGAAAAACAAAAGGAGTAAAATTCACAAGATCAATATATACCAGTTTCCAAACTTTATTTTTAATAATCACTCCCCAAAAGGAGTTTTTTTGATTCTTCTTTTCCTCTAATTGCTATACCCGTATGTAATTTTAATAACTTTAGTTATAAAGCCATACTATATATGGTGGTTTGGACCCTAAGTTTCCTCCAAAGGCTCATGTATAAAAATTGGTCCCCACTGATATTACTGGGAGGTGGTTGAGAGGAAGTGGGCCCCTGGGAGCATGCTTTTCATGCTAAAAGGTTTCAACTGGAGGTTCCATTCAACCCAGCTATTCCTCTTCTTGGCATCTTCCCCAAAGAATTACAAGCATCATACCACAGCAATATATGCACACCCATGTTTATAGCAGCACAGTTTGTAATAGCTAAATCTTGGAAACAGCCCAACTGCCCATCAACCAATTAATGGATAAAGATGTGGTTTTTTTACACAATGGAGTATTACTCCGCCATAAAGAAGGATAAGCTTGAGACATTTCTAGTTAAATGGATGCACCTTGAGACCATACTCTTAAGTGAGATAAGTCAGACACACATGTTTAAATACCACGCTGTTTCTCCAGTGAAAAACTAAAAATGGAAATAGGACTGAAATGTATAACAGACATTGGGAAATGAGAAGAAAATGTTCAAATGAGAAGGGTAACAAGGGAGGGAGGAGCGGGGAAAGGAAAGAAAGGACAAGGAAAAAAGAGAGCGGAAGGAAAAATTAGAAACAAAGCTTCTCTAAATAAGAAAGAGAAGCGGGGGAAAAGGGAGGGGAGGGAAACGGAAAAAAAGAAGCAAGATGTATCATGTACAGGTACAAATTTCCTATGATGAATCCTATCAGTCTGTATATCTAAAATGTACCAATAAATGTTCTCCTTAAAGATATAGGGAAAAACCAATAAAGGTACTACAGTAGAAAAGCTGTAAAGAAAAAGAGAAAAAAAAGAACTGGGTGACATTCTAAAGAAATAGGGTTAGAAGGCAGAACACAGACGCAGCGGGAACAGGAGTGTCAGAATATGAGATATCAAAGAATTTCTGTGTGAAGCAAATTAGTTTTTCCTATATTAATGATAAATTAGTTACCTGATGCCACATTCCTTTAGCCCAAATTTTAAACAGTGCTATATATACCAACTTTTTCCTCTCTCAAGTACTCAAAGACCAAGTCTGACAAATTTTAGCATCCTGAAAAAATGTAGAAAATTGGCAAACTACTAGAGTATCTTTTATTGTATCAAACTGTTTACCTGGTACAGAAGTTCTGCCACTTGTAGGTGATTCTACTTCTTGTATAGCACTAAGTTCATGTTGATTTAAATCCAATCCACATTTAACTTTTGCCACAGGTGGCTTTGAGGCTCTTTTCCCTGCTTCTTTGTGCAGAGGCTCACCTATCAAGCCAAAGACAACACTCAGACACAGTGAAAATTAACATTCTTTGACCAGCAAGCTACAGGAAATGAGAGGAGAAAAGAATCAGTGGATTACAATAAAATGCAATCATCTTACCACTCTGCTTGGGACTAGCAGCTTCTGAAAGCAGCTGATCATCATCAGAGTTGCTCCTATCTGCATGACTGATGTTTTCCTGATCATCTCTTGCTAGGTCTTCCAAATGAGGAAGCCACTCTCTGAGCTGCTCCATCTTCTGTGTTTTTAAATCATTTTGAACTGTTAGCTTGCTTGCCTGAAAAAGTAGACAGATGAGGGTGGGAATGACACAATGAGGGATTATGTAGATCTCCCTTCTTAAATCAGAACCTTAATCAAATAAATAGTTCCGTCACTCACAGTTATAATTTATTATAAAATTGAATGTTTCCGATATTCAAAGAGTAATATTTCCATGAAAAAGTACAACCTAGACCTAAAAACTCAGCCTTCACTTTACCTTTCAATAAGAGACCGTTCCTTTCTTTTCCGTTAAATGATCAGAAAATCCCTAGGACTTGACTTTGAACTCAATTCAAGCTTCTTCTGAACCCCAAAGATTTGCACAATTCTGTTGACACTAAATAATACTTTTAAGCAACCTTTTAAAATAAAATGGATCCAATCATATTCGGAACACTCTTGCCTCCCATATGTAGAAACTAAGAACCTAAGTGACTGTAACAGATTTTTCAACAATTCAGATGCAAGCTGAAGTCCAGCTCTTCATTAGCCTAAAATCACACCAGCTTTACAACAGATGATAATGTCACTTAAGGAAAAAGATGGTACTATCCTGATTCATGTATAAATGTCAGTAGCGCAGGAGATCTACTACTGTATAAGACAAATTCTAAACCAGTTATTGTTGGTTTGCTTGTTTTTGAGACAGGGTCTAACTATGTAGTCCAGGCCAGTCTCAAGCTCATGATCCTCCTGCCTCAGCCTCCCACATACTGGGATTATGGGTGTCTACCACCACATCCAGCCTAACCAGTTTCTACAATTTGAATGTATGGTAAACTTAAAGCCTATTATAAGAAGACTTCAAATGAAAATCTGTTTTCTTTTTTAATATTTATACTTAAAATTAGTTGGGCTTCAAATATATCCATGTCACATTCAACATCAGGTAGGGAGATTAAAAAAATTAAAAACGCTATTAGGGGTTGCACCTACAGGTTCTGTACCACTGAGCTACACCTGTCCCCAGCTTTGTTTTTTGAGACAAGGTTTCACTAAGTTGCTCAAGCTGACCTTGAACTTGTGGTTTACCTCAGCCTCCCAAGTAGCTGTGATTACAGGTTGGTGTCCCATGCCCAGCACAACTGTTTTCACTTTCACATTGTTTGTGGTAAACATTAAAGCACATTTACAATCAAACCACTTATTCTCAACTACAAATTTAAGTCTAGGATTAAAACTGAGTCAGGCTTACACCTCCATTGTTTAATTCTTAGGTATTTACAATATACCTGGTTGTCTTTAAAGAAATCCTTCAATGTCTCTTGATGTTTCTGGATCTGCTGCTCCAATGCTGTTTTTCTCTGTATGTGCAGTTCTTCCTGAGCTTTCTGGCTATAATGTAGAATTTCCCTTTGTAGATCCAATTGCTTCTGAAGACCTGTATTATCTTGCTGAGCTAAAACAGGCTGTGAGTAGCTCAAAAGTCTATCTTGAAATCTTGGGATCATAGAATCACTTGAGGTAGCAGCATATTCATTTTCAGATGAATACAATTCACAAATGCTTTTAGATTTAGCTTCCGCAAAAGGTAGTGGAATGAATGAATGATCTATTTCCTTGGATAGAAACAAAGAGGGGACGGCATACTCTGCAGATTCACTTTTGCCCAATTTACTTTGTCTGTTTAAAAGCAGTTCTTCCTGAGGTTTCTCTGGAGAATGCACCATTTCCCTGTCTAATTCCAATTGTGCTGTCAAACGATCTTTCTGAGACAGAATAGGCTGTGAAAAACTCGAAGGCCTACCCTGTGACCCTGGGGTCTCAGTATCATCACTTTTGGTTAAGAAAGACTTTTTAATTCTTTCAGAATGGGCAGCAGGCAAGGCCACCTGGGATGGAAGTGAAGAGGAGCCAATCTGCTCAGATGATACCCTTTGCTCCAACTGACTTAATTTTTGCAAAAGTAGTTCTTCTTGGACTTCCTGTCCAGATCGGATGGCTTTCCTTTGTAGATCTAATTGCTGCTGAAGTGCCTTCAAATCACCACAGTGAGGTTCGATAAAATGCTCAGAAGGTACCTTTTCCTCAAATTTATATTGTCTGGGCAATACTAATTCTTTCTGAGTTTTCTCAATAGAAGGCAAGGCATTTGTCTGTGTATGAATGTGCTCTTGAAGTGCAATCAAATTATCTTGTTGAGGTAAAACAGGATGTGATAAACCCAACAGCCTATCAGGCAATCTCTGTATTTCAGAATGACTTGAGATTGTATCATCACTATCAGATGGACAAAGTGCTTGGGTTTGTTCAGATTCAGTAGGAGGCAATGAAGCAAACGAATGTTGTGTTTCTAAGGGTGAAAAAGTACCAACCTGCTCAGAAGATATTCTCCCCTTCCAACCATTCTGCTTAAGTAAAAGTATTTTTTCCTGAGCTTCCTGTCTAGACTGAGTGATGGCCTCCCTCTGTCTAGCTAGCTGTTCTTGAAGTGCCTTCAAATTATCTTGTTGGGGCTGGATAAGTTGTGACATCTTCAAAAGCCTATCCTGCAACTCTGGAATCTGAAAATGGCTTGAAGGAATTTTACTATCAGTCTCTGTTGAAAGAGGTTCCTGGGTTGTACTAGAGCTGACAGAAACTAATGATGTAAATGATAGTTGTCTTAACTGAGGTATAAATGAAGACAAACCAGTTTGTTCAGAAGATGTATTTTCTTGGGTTTTCTGACCAAGATGAAAGACCTCTTTCTCTGTGTCTAACTGTTCTTGGTGTTCTTCCAAATTATCTTGCAGAGGTAGTACATGGTGTGAAAGTCTTTCTCGCAATCTTGGAATCTTAGAATGGCTAAAGGAACCATTAACATCACTTGTGATTGATATAAACTCCTGGAATCTTTCAGATTCAGCTACCTGGGATAAAGACAAAGAGGTACCAGTCTGTTCAGATGAAATCCTTTTTTCCAATTCACTTTGTTTGTGTACAAATTCCTGATTTTCTTGTCTAGCACCAAGTATTACCCTCTGTATGTGTGACTGTTCCTGGAGTGCTGTCAAATGTTCTTGCTGGGTTAGGCTGTGCTGTGGGAAATTAAGAGACTTCTTTTGAAATGGTGGAATTATCAAATGACTTGAGGGAATCATATTCTCCTCAGATGAACAAAGTTTCTCAAATCTTCTGGGTTCAACATCAGCAGAAGTTTGTGAAGCATCTGAATGTTGAGTAACCAGTGGTAAGAATGAAGAACTTATCTGCCCAGGCAAATAGTCCCCCAAATCCCTTTGACCATGGGAAATTAATTCCACTTGTGCATCACATCTAGCCGGAAGAGCATCCCTCTGTGCAGTCACCTGTTCTTGGAGCAACTTCAAATTATCATGAAGAGGTAGAAACTGCTGTAGGAAACCTGATGACCCATCCTGAGATTTTGGGATTTTGGACCCACTAGAAAGAAGGCCTTTATCACTGCCAGATAAATGCTGCTCCTGGATTTTTTCAGATTTTCTACCAGGAAAAGGTAGTGAAGTAAATGTATGCTGAGCTACCTGATATGGCAAAGAGGGCTCAACCTGTTCGGAACATACTCTTCCATTCAATTCACTCTGTTTATGTACAAATAAGATTTCCTGAGCTTCCCGCCTAGCCTGAAGGCTATCCCTCTGAATATTTAACTGTTCTTGGAGAAATTTAAAATTATTTTGTTGGGATAAGACAGGCTGTGAAAAACTCAAAAGACTATCCTGAAGATCTGGAACCACAGCATGACCTGAGAAAACTAAAGGAGCATTTTTGGTTGGTGAAGATTCCGGGATTCGCCCTGATTCAGCTTTGGCAGAAGACAGTGAAGCAAATGAATCTGGAGCAACCAGAGGGAAGAATACTGAAAGACCAGTCTGCTCTTCCAATTCTTTCTGTTTGCGCAAAAGAAACTGTTCCTGAGCTTCTTGTCTTGCCTGAAGAACTTCCTTCTGTAGTTCTAACTGTTCTTGAAGAGCCTTCAAATTACCTTGCTGGGCTGTAATAGTGTCTGAGGATAGAAAAGGTCGATCGTGCATTTGGCTGATTACAGAATGACTTACAGAAACTGCACTTTTATTCATGGTTGAAAGGGGTTCTTGAATTTTTCCAGACTCAACTTTACTAGGGAGAATAGTAAAAGAACTCTCAGGTACCAGTGGTAGGAATGAAGGCTCAGTTAGTTTCGAAGATATATTTTCACTGTCCTCTGCCACTATTTGCTGGGAATCTACAGCTTGAAAAGTTGTTGGCCTCAATGTTTCAGATATTTTTCTAGTGTCCTGTAACAGTAGCTGTCTATCATGTGACAAAGCAGTTGAAAGTGTATGTAAATCTTTAGGGATTAATTTATAGCCTATCTTTTGTGTTTCAATCTGGGAGAATTGCCTTAGATGTTCTTGGGACTCCAAAGACTGCTTGGCTAAAAAATCTGCAGTGCTTGATGTTTCTATCTGTGGAAACTGACTTTGTCTTGGTGCATGAATATGATCTTGCTTTAATTTCAAGATCTGCATGGGTTGATATTTGTTAGGATTCAACTCGAATCTCTGACTCTGATCCCAATGTTGTGATATAGCAGTAGATTTTTCAGATTTCTTTGGTGGTACTGTGATAATGGAATCAGATATCAATGATGTAGCTGATGTTGATGGGTACCTTCCTTTTAACATAATCTGATATTCAAGTAATCGTTTTCTGGCTGCTTCAACAGATTGCCTGTGTAACCTATCAAGAACAAATACAACAACAAATGAAAAAACTGCCTTCAATTATCAAGTGTTTATACATTAAATATAGAAATCTATATTCAAATTAGATCTTCATATAAGCCAAATAAGAAATACGAAAGATGTACCATACACTGTCATATGAAATTATACCTTAGCCAATACCTGTTTTGTTGTAGAAGCTGCTGTTGGTAGTTATGAATCATCTGCCTATGACTATCTTCATCAGAAATTACAAGGAATGATGCTGGAGCAGTGTCAACCTGATAAAAGACAAAACTCCTAATTAAAAGGCAAGTTCAGAAACAAGTACTAAAGTATTTTAAACTTAAACTTATGTAAACTTAAGTTTCACAACTGCAAATTTCTACATAGCTTTATTTACTTGAGTACTTTTTTTTTTTTTTTTTGGTACAGGGATTGAACTCTGGTCCTTGTGCTTGCGAGGCAGACGGCAGAACCACTGAGCTAAATCCCTGGCCCTTTATTTACTTATTTATTTTTACTGTCCTGGAGATAGAACCCAGGGCTTTCCCACTAAGCTACATCTCCAACCCTTTTTTGAAAAGTTCAAGACAGGGTCTCACTAAGCCATAAAGTTACCAGGGCTGGGCTCAAAAGCTTGCAATTTTCATGTCTCAGCCTCCAGAAGGGCTGGGATTACAGACATGCACCACTATAGATAATATATAAATCATAATCATATTTATTTTGACAGCACATTTATATTGGCACTCTATGGGTGCTTAGAGAAAAAAACCATTAGGTTGATGTAAACTTATTTTTATATATACATTATTAAATGAACAAAAAAATTAAAGACATTTTACTTTTCTGAATTCTATGACTGCTCATATTTCCTTGTCCCCAGTGATTCATGTAGAGAAATTTCCTACATCCTACCCCAGTCTGTTGAGTTTTTTTCCTTTTTTCTTCTTCCAGCTGAGCCCTGAAACAATCAGTTTCTAATTTTAACTTCTGTTGTTCGATTTGTTCAAGTAATTCCAACTGCTTTTGCTTCTGCTCTTCTATTTCCATTATCTAGGTAATAAAAATACTATCAATCTATTAATAACAAACTCATACAAAAGTTAATTATGTATCACATTAAAAAGAAAGGTTTTATCACAAAGAATACATGATTATCCATAAAAAGGTGTTTATCTGTGTTACTGGTAATTGGAGAGGGAAGATAAAAGTAGATAGCAAAGGAGGAAAAGACAGAAAAGGGAGAGAAGGGTACAGCAGCAGCAAGAAAAGAAGGAACAGGGCCAGGGATTTAGTTCAGTGGTTCCGCTGCTTGCCTTGCAAGCGCAAGGACCTGAGTTTGATTCCCAGTACCAAAAAAAAAAAAAAAAAGAAGGAACAAACGCATTACTATTTCTATCTTCTTGGACCACAAGGAATTCCTGAGTACCGCTGAGGAAACACCCCCAAAGAAGGAGCAAATGGTGTGTAGCCAAATTCTATGTTCACATCTTTAATTTTCCATTGTTTCCAGTATGAATAATGACTAAAGAAATTAAATAGAGGCCTCCCAAAACACTTTGATTTCTTAGAAATGCTTATTAAGAGTAGTTAACTTTTTTTTTTCTTTTTGAGACAGGGTCTCACTATATAGTTCAGGCTGGTCTAAAACTCACTATGTAGCCCAGCTGGCCTCTAACTCTCAGTGATCCTTTAGCCTTCCCAATGCTAGGATTACAGTCATGCGTCACTATTTCCAGCAATAGAGTAGACAACTAGTTTTGTTGCCTGCCAAATGTAGCACCTAGTACACCTAGTACAGCCCGATACACAGATTAAAAATTTACTGAATAAAAATTGCATGTGTAGTTTTCTTTTTTTTTTTTTTGGAACCGGCGATCGAACTCGGGTCCTTCCGCATGCGAGGCATGTGTAGTTCTATAAAGAGGAGTAGTTCTACTACAGATAATTTAGAAAGAATAATCATATTTTCAAAGTAAAAAAATATCCCAGCATGATACTTTATTTATTTCCCACCAGGCAACAGTGGCTACAGCTGAGCACCTGTCCTCTTCTTTACTTTCTTTCATCATTGGAACCACTGAATTTAAGTTATAGTGCCTTTTTGTCCCTCCTTCTTCCCCTTCCCTCCCTTTCCCTTCTCTTTTGAGACAGGGTCTCACTTCATTGCTCAGGCTGGCCTCAAACCCACAAGCTGCCTGCCTCAGTCTCCCAACTAGCTGGGATTACAGGCATAAATGAATAGACAATTCTCAAAAGAAGAAGTACAAAGGGCCAGTAAATATATAAAAATTCTTCAACATCTTTAGCCATTAGGGAAATGTAAATCAAAACAACTTTGAGATTCCATCTAACCCTGATCAGCAAGGCTATCATCAGGAACACAAAGAACAATGACTGCTGGCAAAGATGTAGGGGAAAAGGAACCCTTCTACCTTGTTGGTAGAAATGTAAGCTAGTACAACCACTACAAAATCAATATGGAGATTCCTCAAAAACCTAAAAGTAGAAATTCCATTTGATTCAATATATCTCTTCTGGAGTACACTCCTGACAGTTTAAGTCATCATACTACCGTGATACATCTAAACCCATATTCAAAGCAATGCAATTCACAATAGCTAAGCTCTGGAAATAGCCTAGATGGCCATCAAAGGAAAAATGTGTAAAGAAAATGTGATGTATATAAACAATGGGATATCATTCATGACACAAAAAAATAAAATTATGTCATTTCCAAGAAAATGGATGGAACTTGAGACATGATGGTAGCGAAAGAAGTCAGACTCAGAAAGTTTAATATTTCTTCTTATATGAGAAACTTAAACTATAAATAAATAAAATAAAGGAGAGACAGTAGAAAACTAGAAGGTAGACTCCTGGAGATAGGGAAGAACATCATGGGAGGGAGGAAAAGGAAATAAGGGACTGAAAATGATCAGTCAAGGTGCCACGGCATGTAGTGCACACCTATAATCCCAGTACTTGGGAGGCTGAGGCAGGAGGGTTGCCATGAGTTTCAGGCCAGCCTGGGCTAGTGAGCTCAGGGCCAGCCTAAACTACAGAGTGAGACCCTGTCTTTAAAAAAAAAAAAATTAAGATAAGTTATACACATGTACCAATTTCCCCAAATAAACATCACTATTCTGTACTACAAACATGTATTAATTTAAAAAATAAAGTTTTTTTAAAGTAGAGCTAATTACGAGTAATTAGTTAAGAAGGTTCAACTTAAAATTTTTTCATAAAAGACTATTTCTCAAAAGTCTTGGGGGATTACAAAACCCATGTGAATGAGGCATTGAAGCAGAAGCTATAAAGGATAAATTGATTTTTTTTTTGGTAGTACTGAGGATTGAACTCAGGGCCTTGAACATGGTCAGTGAGTGCTCTACCATCAAACTACATCCCCTACCCAAAACCAATTTTTTAAAGAAGACAGGGTCTGCCTTCAAAAAAGCTTAAAAATTTTATAGGAATACAAGATATATACAAAAATATTAAATACAAAGCAGATACAGTAAGAGTCAAATGAGAAGTACAAAGATAAACTGCATTTTATCAGGGGAATGTTTGTGTAAAACAAGGTGGGAAACATGATATCAAAAACAGCCAGATGGTAAGACAAATGACACAGGTGGTTTCATTACTTAGGAGAAACCTTTAAAAATAAAAAATATATTTAAAAATAAAAAAAAATAAAGAAATCTTTAAAAATAAAATTTCAAATTACCTGTTTCTGCCTTGCTGACATTCTAACTCTGACTGCTTCCTCTTGAGGGTGAAGTAGAACTGAACTCTGAGCTACAGCTGTGACAGGTGGAGTCTCATTTATTTCTATGAGAATCCCCAAAACAAAAATTAGTCCCAACAATTCAGAATTTTGAAACCACTATTATCCCTTCCAGTTATTTATTACATATAAGCTTATTAGGAAAAAGATGTAAAGAGTTAGTAAGTTTAATCTTAAGATGTGATAAAAATAAGTACCTTGTTCCTTTCCAGAGTCTGTGTGGCATGAAAGTGGCTTATCTTCACTAGTAAGTGGTCCAGACTCAATTGTCAGTACATCACTTTCCACAACTGTAACAGATAATACCATTGTTATTATAACCCCATTATCATCAAGCTTAAAGAAGCAAAATAACAAAACATATGCATCCCAGTACCCATTCAATCTTGGTCCACTAAATGTCTTAGTTAAAATCCAGTTACCTTCTTTTTTTTTTCCCCCTTTAATTTTGCCATACTGGGGATTGAACCCACAAACTCCACACGAACCATATGCCTGGTCTGTTTGAGAAATGAAGTCAGCGTCTGCAGGACAGTGGTTGGGGTGGGAAGTGTGCCAGAAAAGGGAGTCAAAAAGATGCTAAGGGTAGAAGTGTGTGGGTGTTTGTGTGTGTGTGTGTGTGTGTGTGTGTAGAACATACAAAATTGTGAAGCCAGTGTAATCACTTTGGTATTTACTCAGTGAAACTGATAGTTATTGGAGGTCTTCACCCAGAAGAATGGGATGAGCTGACTTACATTTTTATAGGATCACTCAATGAACAGACTCTAGGAAGGAGATACGAAAGCTGAAGATAGAGACCACTACAAGAATTTATACTAGAATCCAGGCACGGTGGCACATGCCTATAAACCCATTCTTGTCAGAATAAGATAGGACAATTCCAAGATTAAGGCCAATCTGAGCAACTTAGTGAGCCTGTCTCAAAATAAAAAATAGAAAGGGCTGGGGAAGTAGCTCAGCATGAGAGTGCTCCTGAGTTCAATCCTGTATTACAAAAACAAAACAACAACAACAAAAATCTGTTTAATAAAACAAATGTGGCTTAAAGTAGGATGGTCTATGGTGAGAAATGATTGGGCTTTAGGTACATTTTGAGGATAAGACCAACTGGATGGGCTGCTGATTAAAGGTAGGATATGAAAGAAGGAAACCAAAATAACTACAAACTTTTCGGATTGAGCAAAGGAATTAAAATATCCCTAGTTTTTAAACTGTGGAAGATCATAAGAAAAGCAAGTGTAGGGGGGATATCAAGAATTCAGTTTTGGACAAATTTAAGGTGTTATTAGATCCTGGCATGGTGGTACAAGCTGGGATTATAATTTCAGCACTCAGGAGGCTGAGGCAGGGGCATCTCAAGTTTGAGATTCACACAGTAAGACCCTATCTCAAATAACCAAAAAGGGTGGTGTGGGGGGAGATGTTACTAGATATACAAGGGAAGATATCAAATAAAGTAAATGACTTGAATTCAAAGGGGAGGCCAAGCCTAGAAACACACACTTTGGAAGACATTAGTATATAGATAGTAATGTAAAGCATGACATTAGAGATCAACTAAGGAGTTCTGATAGAGAAACGATCTGAAGAATGAGCTTTGGGAACAATGGCTCATGGTTGTGGAAATATGGATAAACAGAAAAGGGGACCATGAAGGAGGAACCAATGATGTACCAAGACCAAGAGGGTGGTATCAAAAGACCAAGTGAAGTGTGTATTTCAAGGCTTCCTGTCCTTTTAGTATTAAATCCAACATCCAAATACAGGCCATATGTCACTTCTCTCAAAAGTCTGCTAGCAAAACATTTTCAGACAAATACAAACACATCTTTAAAGGAATTCAAAATATAAAGCTCCTAGAAACAAAACAAATCAAAGAGTTATATCTTCGTAATTCTCATTTGCTCAAATATAACTGAAGGCAAAATTGTTGGTATGATCTTTTTAAATTCTAGAAATATATTTAATAGCCTACTTACAACCAAAGCTATTCTTTAAAATTAACAAATAAAAAAACCAAATCATGGGTGGAAATGTGGAAGAAAACAAAATACACCTAGTATAAGCCACGAACATGTTTGAATCTTTTGATTCAGAAATTCTTCAATGTTCATCCTAAGGAAATAAAGATGTGGGCAGAGACTTCACCAGAAATACCCCAAACAAACAAATGAACAAAAATCCCTAAAATCCCAGTAGTAGGGAACTGGTTAATTCTGTTCATCAATTACAGTGGAATTTATATATATAAATGACTGGTAATACTACAGTGAAAGAAAACTTTAAGATTACGGTTTTCAATATATGTTGCCTTTAAATTATAGGATTAAGCTTTTAAACTTTTGATTTCTGTTCTTTGATTTTTCAAAATACGAGCACGGTTTTAAACAATTTATAAAGGAGAAATTAGAGACATTTATAGCTAAGTGGATGCACATTGAGGCAATACTCTTAAGTGAAATAAATAGGACACACATGTGTAAATACCGAATAGTTTCTCTGGTGTGAGAAACAAAGTGTAAATAAGGACTAAAAGGTAAAATAGGTCATATGAAATAGGAAGAAAAGGGGCAAAGGGGAAGGAAGTGGGAGGGCTAGGGGAAAGGATAGAAGGGAATGGGATTAATATGAGAAAATGGAAAAATAGGAACAAAATTTTTGTAAATAGGGAGGGCTGGAGGGGTTGAAGGGAGGGCTGGGCAAGGGTGAAAAACAAGAACCAAGAGAGACTATGTAAAGGTTCAAATTTCCAATGATGAATGTCATTATATTGTATACTTAAAATGTACCAATTATTAGAATGAACAATCGATAATGTAAAATAGGAATAAAAGGTCCAAAGGGGTAGGGGTAGTGGGAGGCACAGGGGAAAGGAAAGAAGGGAAAGGAAAAAATAATGAGAAATGGAAAAAATGGAAATGAAGTCTTTGTAAATAGGGAAGGGTGGAGGGCGTGAAGGGAGGGCTAGGAATGGGGAAAAAATAAGAACCAAGATGCATTATATAAAGGTACAATTCCCAATGAGAAATGTAATTGTGTTGTATACCTACAATGTACCAATAAAAGAATTTAATACAAAAAACAAACAAACAAAAAAACAACTTAGAAAGGGTTTATACACTATAAAACAGGACTATTGGAGAGAATTACTTTGTTCCTGCGCTGTGGATAGTGTTCTTTCCCCACTGGCAATTGTTCTAGATTCAACTGTTTGTTCTTTACTCTCAGTTTCACTAGCAGTCGTAATCATTTCACTTTCATCTTCAGACATGGATTTAATTGTCCAGAGAGATTTTTGGCTTCGAATCTTATTTAATAACTTTTTAAAAAGAATTTTTGAAGGGACCTGTTGGGTGTTTATTGCCAAGGGAACTAAAAGGGGAAAAAAGAAAAGCAAAAACCACTTTATTCAGTACCTATTACATGCCAGGCAAATTGATGTCTTTATACTTAGTTACTGTTCTAATTACTTGGTTAAAACAAGTCAACTTTATTTTGTCAATACTTACAATGTAGCAATATATACAATGCTTTTTTATTCTATTCCTATTTTTATCATCAGGAATAATACTTCCAACTTAGATTTAGATGTAAATGTGCCAAAATTCAACTGTTTAACAACAATATCTGTGTAACAGAAATTACAACCTTAAAAACTTATCAGGAGGCTATTTATCCTGCTTGCTACATGATGGCATACTGCATATTTCCTCATTAATCTCTGGGTAAGGTTAGTATTAGAAATACTCAGTGTAAGGTTCTATACTGTTTGCTAGAGAATGGTTCCAAACACGGCGCTCCACTTCTTAGTAGGTTACTGAGGAAATCAGTTGCTCTCAAATCATTCCTGGTACTATCTGGAAAACATTTCTCCTATCTTCATAGCAATCCCTTCAATTATCAAAAAAACAAAAACAAGATATCGATTCAAATATTCTTTTATATGGGCTGATGATAAATGCTAAAACTCAGAACTAATAATTCTCTATGGGAACAAAACCGTAAACATGCAATTCTTTGGCTTAATCAAGAAACAAAACTTACAGGAGTTGAAAATGGCAAAATGTATGTCTTTGTGACCCACATTTTAAAAAAATGTCTAATTGAGTTATAACTTACAAATTATAAAGTACACAAAAATCTAAAGCTCAATGCATTTTATAGCTATGTCTATGTAACATCATTGAGATCATGTGAAACATTTCAGCACATAAAAGGTTTTTTCATGCCCTTTCCCAGTCAATATTCCCTAAAGATAACTAGTATTCTAACTTGAAGGCCACAGGCTCATTCTGCCTACTTGATTTACTTGTAGCTTCATAAAAACATGGAATCATATGCTTAGGTAATCTTTTTTATGTATGTATGGTCCTGGGGACTGAATCAGACCTATGCACTGAGCTACATCCCCAGTCCCCTTTAAAAAATGTTTTATTCTGAGACAGGGTCTTGCTGAGTTGTCCAGGCTGGACTCAAATTTGCCATCCTCCTGCCTTAGCCTCCCAGACTGCTGGGATTACAGACATGCACTGCCACACCTGGCTAACCCACTCTTTTTTAAAAGTATTAAGTGCTCATATTTAAAAATAATGATTTAATAAACAATGGAATGTCTAGCTTATTTATTTATTTATTTATTTTTCATTAGAAGAGATGGGGTCTCACTATGTTGCTCAGGTTTGTCCTGGCTTCCTGAAACCCAATTGATCTTCCTGCTGCAGCCTTTCGAGTCCTTAGGGCTACAGAAATGTGCCATAATGCCCAGCTTCCTAGGTTTTTAAGAAAAAGAATCAAGACTTGGCAATACCAAGCCAGCAATTCTAAAAGGAATCAGCCAGAGCTGAAAAATAACTGTCCCTTTAGGCAAGGCTAGACCTCCAATTCTGACAAACTAGAGATCTGAATGACACCTTCTGCCCTCACCAAAATAACTAAAAAGCTGATAAAAACATCTTTTAAAGACATTGCTGATATGGCAAGAAAAGATTCTGGAGGAGTCAAAAGTGAAGTTTAAGTGAGAACCTTGGAAGAAAGGCAAGTAAGTACTGAAAGTATTTTTCATGAAATTTATGTGAAAGCTAAAACACAGTACCTTATACTTGTCTGAATAGCCATGTGGACAAAGAAGAAGGAAAAGATAAAGCCTTGAGCCTCCACAGAGGATCAAACAGGAGACCTACATAAAGCTGGAACCCTAAAGGGCTGCTTGCTTCTACAGTGAAGGATGCAGATTTTAAGACAGCCTGAGTGGTTTTTTAAAAAGGCAATACTCATAGAGATAAGGAGAAAAAAAAGAGATCAGTTCAATGAAGAGGATTTGATCTTAAAGGAGATGCGGAAATAAAAGAGGGGGAAATGTTAAAGGTAAATTGAATTCTACTGGTTTGGGCTGGGTAACTATAGAGTAAGGGATCATCACCAAGATAAAGAAGGAATAGTAGGTTTCACAAGAGATGATGAAAATTTTTTTGCTGGATACTGTTTTAGGTGTCTATGGGACAGCCAAGTGAAAAAGTTCAGGATGTGGGAGACAGAGATGAAGGGAAGACATAGTCTGTGCTGTTCATCACAATACTTAGTAGTGAGGGAACAAAACTGGATTTCTGATGAAATGATGAAGTCTACAAATAAATGCTGACCCTTCACATGAGTTCAAATTTAACATCTAACTTCACCTAAAAATCTCCAGACTATATAGCTTCCTTCTTAGGTATGTGAAATGAGACTATAATGATGGAAATATTAAAATATTGTTTCCTTCTGCCACCACTATAATTAGTATCAGTCACTGTTTGCAATTAAATGAGACCGAATTTTCCTAACTGTTGGCTAATTAATAATACTTTTGTCCGTGAAATACTGTAATATTCAGTTTAGAAGGGGTTTTACCGTCCATTTCATTAGAACATATTTCAGCTTCTGTCACTGGAAGGTTCTCAGTTTCACCTATATTTTCTTGGTCCATTGAAAGGTCCAGTTCTTCATCTTGGGTCTGATCAGTCACAGTGGGCAAAGGTTCTGGTTCAAGATGCAAGACCGGGTTTCCTTTCACCTCTTAATAAAGAAATATAGAGATATGTTTCCATTCCAGTGATTAAAAAGAATTTGATAATAAAAATTTCAAAGGCCATCACAGTTTCTAAATCTAAAATATGAGGGCCTCTTCCAAATTGAGAACCCATTTTAAAACAAAAACTGCTTTAATCATTACAAATATATTTTCCCACCAAAGCATTTAAAAGCACTGCTGAAAGTCTACTGAAAATATCTTACTCCTGTCTGCATTGTACATATCTTCAAATGCGAATTCCAGCTCTCTCTGCCAGTCTTCTTTCATTTCACTGCGTTTATATGGAAGTTCAACTAGATGGGGTGGCATTTGTGCTACAGTCTGTTTCCTACGTGCCAGGTCTTCTTGTTGTAGCTGTTTCAGTTCTTTCATTATTTTCTCTTGATTCTTCAAGAATAAAGAGATTAATGAGAGCTGAGTCAAACTGGACAGTAATAGTAATGGTGAGGAAAAGTGGGAAAACCATGAGACAGGGCCTAGGTACCTCTCCCTTTCTCTATCATTTGTTCTGCTACAAGACAAATTACATTAATTAGTTTATCCATTCAACAAATATTCGCTGAATCCCAGATAATACAAGTAGTAGGGGGAAAAATTCTCAACCCTCATCTAGCAGTGAGATTACCATGTTAATACTATGAAATGGAGGTACTGGTTAGGCCATAAAGCTTCAAAAGTGTTGGCCAGCTGCAGTTCTCCTTCCTAAAGAAAGTTATGAAGATACTTTCTATTTAAGTTCCCATGGCTCCTGGAATGTACTGTGGTCCAGTTCTTCATATACCTGTCTCAGGTAAGCACTAAGAACCACAGTGACTGATTCAACAGATATTTCTTGTTACTCCATACTTTTTTTTGAGACAGGGTCTTGCTATGTAGTTCAGGCTGGCCTTGAACTTACTATGGAGGTTAGGCTATCTTTAAACTCACGGCAATCCTCCTGACTCAGCTTCACAAGTGCTGGGATTACAGGCTACTCCATACTCTTATGAGTTCCAGGATTAAAGTGGATCTACAAGGCTGGTGCAGAGCTTTCTGAGTATGTAGAACTCCTAGGCTTAATCCCCAGCACCACAAGAAAAGGTGGGGGATGGAGGGTGGGAACTGCATGTATCCCTTCAAATTAGAACATGGCTAATATGAAAATTTAAGCAGTATTTTAGTGAGGTTATATAACTGAATTTTAGTGGTAGAGGGTAAAGAGAAAAAAGACTCTTCAGTCCTTGGAATGAGGATTTAACTAGATAAAGTGTGTGAGGTAAGAGTACAAGAAAAAATAACTGGAGCACAAAACTGTGGTGATGAAGACATGGGGAATTCAGAAAACAGTAGGGCATGTAGAGCAAGGGTGAGTAAGGAAAGAAGACAAAATTGCAAAGGCAGATGGAGGCTAAATACTAGTTACAACAGACCACAGGGGGAAATAGTCTCACACAGTAACAGGGTCTGCAACATAAAGGTTCAGACAGGGAAAAGGAGATCTATTAGCAGAGAGATTAGGTAGCTTTTGATGACGATGACCATTCTTCTGTAAGAAACATTAAGTATACAGTAAGTCAAAAGAGCCTCGACGTTTGTCAAGTGATAAACACACTACTTGTTCTTTTGTGTATCTTAAATATTTTGCCATTTGGAGATGAATTTTTTTGCCATTTGGAGATGAATTTTTTTTGGTCATGCTCTGAAACAGAATCAAATTATGAACAAATTCATTTCATTTATATTAAGATTCATCTCACCAAATTAACTGCAGTGTTACATGAATAAGTGTATTATTCTAGCTCACTGAAAGTTTGGGCATGTTACTCTACTTGTATTATTTATAATAACAATGACCATACCACTAACATTTACTATAAGCTTATTCCACATACATTTCTAAGGGCTTTACTAAACCCATTAATGCTGATAAAACCAATGATGAAACAGAACTCAGGGGGATGACATAACTTGCCTATAATCAAACAGCAAACTAGTAAAGAAGAGAGGTAAATCCAGACAAATGTCTGTGGAGTACACTTTCATACCCACTAAACACTACTCCTTTTATGGAAGAATGTGTTCAATTTATGACTGCTTTTCATGTGCATTTTTTCCTATGGTTTAAACCTTAATTACTAATAAATTCAGAATATCAGTTATTTTAATTATAATTCACTTTTAGTTTACAAAAGTCAAAAATTAAGAGAGGTCATAACTTCATTCAGGGTATACAAATGAAATTTCCTAATACAAGCATTTGATTTCCACAGAAACACTTAAAAACTCATTCCTAAAGTGAATGTTTAAAATTCAGAAAATAAAAATGAGACCTGTAACAAGATGAATCACTTTCATGCTGTGATTAAGAATAAACACTAACTGAACAAAGCATGACAGAAGTAAGGCTAAAACTATGTATTTTTCAGGTCTACAAGAGTCACTTTTTCAAAGCTACTCACTAGCAAAGATCATATCTTTACCTTTGCATCAATATACTGCAAAGCCAGTAAATGCTTTGTTCCACAAATACATAGGAAGTGAATCCTCAAATCTAAAGAGCACAAATGCAATCCAAACACAGCAATTAAATTAGAAATGATCAATCTCATACCATTTTTGGACTAGGATTCTGAAAAAATTCATCAGTAAAATTTAAGACTAACAACACACTGTAAGAACAGAATAATCCAATCTGAAAGAGGAGGGGCAAAGGAAGTTGGAAAACTTGAAATCATAGGAACAAAGAATATATGTAACATTTTCACATCCTCTACTTTGTGCCCATTCACTAATTAGTTCTGCAATGCTATCAGTAAGCCTATCGGTAGTCGGCACAGGTAGAATTTAATTCTTACTTGGGCCAAGTGGATCTTTTTCATGGCTTGGAAACCCCGTACATGTGCCTTTTCAAACTGGTCCAGTCTCTCTTGTGCTGCCTGTTTTTGCAGCTCTTCCAATCGTTTAGCTTCTTCTTCAGCAGCCAAATGAGCATCTGGCTAGCAGTCAATCAGTAATATTTTAGATAATTTTCCAAAAAAGTATAGAAAAAAAACACTAAAAAGAAAAACAACTTTAAAACCATGTTTTCTACTTATATAGACATAATTATATGGAAAGGAGTTAAATTTGTTAATGCCCACAATTATCAACAGCATGTGTCTATAAAAAGATCAAATTAGCAAAGTTAGCAAAGTTTTATAAATTGCTCATTTCAAACCAGATCAGGTTTTACTAATGCAAACACATTGGTAAATACCCTCAAAGACAGTAAAGAAAATGCAAGCATCTAAGGTCATGTAGGTAATCTACAGGAACACAAAGGTTTGTCTGCTTTTTTTTATTTTCTCTTTTTTTTGGTACCAGGGATCAAACTCTGGACCTTGCACTTGCGAGGCAGCCGGTGGCACTACTGAGCTAAATCCCTGGCCCTCTTTGGTTTTTAACCAACAACTGGTGCTTGGTTTCAGTATGAGTAAGGCCAAAATACCTACTTTAATATAAATTCTGGCTTCCTAGATCTTATGCATAACCAATGATTATGTTATTGTATAGTCAGTCATCATATCTTACTAAGGTAACAATAGTAATACAACTTGGATTTACTCTTACTATCTAAACATTCACTTTCAATTTAAATCATCTTAAAGGTAACCAGGAGTGAAAGTCATATATTTTATATGCCAAAATTCTAACATTCAGTTAAAACAATACAGATAATAAAAACTACTGACTTTATATGTAAGATTAAAAACCCAAGTAGTGAAATAAATAGGTAAAGAGATCTATCATTATTCAGAGTATACTAGCTAAAAGTTTATTAAAAATATTTCTTTTAAGCCAGTAAATATTTAAACAAATCTAAATAAAACCAGGCAAAACAAAAAAGGCTAGATGAAATGAAAATTATAATCAACACAAAATTATTTAGTATATTAACATACATAACATTAAACAAAATAACCGTTAAAAACTATTCTTCCATTTAGGCCATGAAGTTTTCAAGAAAAAGTTGCTAAGGAATTCTTCATGACTTTATAGGATAAATTAAAAGCAGAGTATCAATTTTTGTTGTTTTTTCAGACGGGGTCTCACTTTGTAGTGTAGGCTGGACACAGCCTGCAGTGTGAAGGCCCTGAGTTGAATTCCCAGTACCACAAATAGATTAATTAATTAAAAAACAAAAACCAGATTGCAATAATTGTTAGAGTTCATTTTTAGTAGCTGGAGATGAAAGATGTAAAATTTGCAAAAACTATGAATCCTAGTGAGAAAAAAATATTTTAGAAAATACGCTTCTGAAAAACTTTTTCATGGACTCATTTTTGCAGTTCTCAAATGTGATATTATTAAATATACATCTGCATTTTGTTCAGTTACTTGGACAGAAGCCTTTTGAAATATGATAGTGTAGCAAACTGATAATGACTTTAACTGTTTCATTTTTCTGTAGACATTTCAGGGTCTCACAGTAAACAGTATAGTAGATCAGGTTAGACAAGTATTTCTAGACTCAAACATCCATTTTTAAAAAACCACTACCCAACTGTCATCAGTAAAGGAAAGAAAACATGAAGGCCACCAGTAATGTGGGACTTTCAGGCATATGATGCTTTGTTTGTGGAATATACTGAAAGTCAAGGCAGCAAAACATAACGTAGAGAATTACTGATCAAAGTAGGACTATAGCAGGCTACTGTCATCATTCTTCTTCAGCAAAAGACAAACAGTGACATACAAAATATTTTGGAACTACTTTTTCAGAATGGTTAAAAAAAACAAAAATTGTGATACCAATCCTTACATGTTAAAAAGCCTAAACAAACAAAAGTAGTCCATTTACAAAAAGCTGTCAAAGAAAAATACCCAAACATGTAAGTCAAGAATGTGAGTATTTTTAAGAGATACTTGTTGTATACAATTATGTATCATTCTACTACAGGGAAGATGCTAAATTACTGTGTATGTGATATAAGCTGAGATGCAGATAAAAATTCAGAGGTTGTTTTGTTTCGGTTTTGGTTTACAGTACGAGGGTTGAACCCAAGGGCATTATACCACTTAACTACACTCCAGCCCTTTTTAATTTTGTTGTAGATTTTAAAACAGGATCTTGATAAACTGTTTAAGTTGGCCTCAAATCTGCAATCCTTCTACCTCAGCCTCCCAAACTGCCAGGATTACAGACATGTGCCACCATATCCAGCTCAGAAATAATTTTATCTTGAAAGCGCTTTTTGTCACCTTGTAAATCCAAGATTTATGGACAGATTTTACTTAAGTGACGCAGTAAAGCAAAAAATAATATATCAGAATAAAAACTGTAAAATCATGAATCTGCTCCAGAAAATATACAGAAAGCATCTTCTTTAAATTAGTACAAAATATTCTAGTTACCAGCTGTGGTGGTACAAGCCCATAATCCCAGCACTTGGGCTGAGGCAGAAGGATCACCAAGTTCAAGGCCAGCCAATACCCTACAGCAGTGGTGACAAACCTATGGCACATGTGCCACAGCCGGCTGTTGGTTATCATTGAAAGCTCTAAAAGGGTCACCATCACTGCCCTATACTGATAAAGACAAGTAAAAAAAAGACCTTTCTTCATCAATCTTAGTTGGAAGGTAACATGTATTTAATATTGCAGAAATACAGTATATTAACCAAAAGAACAAATTAGCAACAATTTGAAGTTATAATTCCTCTATCTTAATAGTAAAATTCTAATACTATACAATTTTAAATAAATCTCAGATTTAGTCTTTTTTTTTATTGGTACCGGGGATTAAACTCGGGTCCTTGCGCTTGCGCGGCAGGCCGCGAAACCACTGAGCTAAATCCCCCGGCCCTCAGGTTTAGTCTTGAATCTTAAAGGCTCATTCTATGATGATGACATTCATCTTTTATACTGACTGTTTACTGATTTTTAACATCTGCTATTATGTAGTCAACCACAATGTTGTATCTGTTGCATTCCATGCTCCACACAAATCTATATTTATCATTTATTTTCCTATTAGCCAAATAAATAACATGAAAAATATTAAAACCTACTGTTACAAAGAAATAGCAAATTTCATAAAGGTATATCATTTGTTACTCTTAAGACTAGCAATAGTTTAAAAACCTTAACAGACAAATATATGACAGGACAGCTATTCTCACACGTTGTTGATACTTTTTAAAGGCAATTTAATGTTGTGTATCAAATGTTAACAGTTGGAACCCAAAATTTCTCAGAATCTATTCTTAACATAGAACTAGAGATATGAAGATAAATGTATAAGATTACTATACTTACACTATTTACATAAGTAAAAAAGCTACGAGAAAGGTTAATTCTCTGATGAAATATTAAGTAGCTTTTAAAAAACACATTTTGAAAAGTATGTAGAGATGTTTATATATAAAAAGATTAATATAAATTCATTAAATTATTAACCTTATTACCCTTTGGTGACAGAATCATTGGTGTTTTTCCTAGTTTATGCTTATGTGCATAGTTCTACAATTTTCACAGAGAACATATTACTTTATGGTAAAGTTTTAAAATCTACTATTTTGAGGTTTTTTTTTTTTTTTGGTACCAGAGATCAAACTCAGAACCTTGGGCTTGTGAGGCAGGCAGCAGAACCACTGAGCTAAATCCCCGGCCTCTACTATTTTGTTTTTTTGAGACAAGGTCTTCCTATGTAATTTAGGCTGGTCTTGAACTCACTATGCAGCCCAGGCTGACCTTGAATTTATGGCAATCCTCCTGCCTCAACTTCCTGAGTGCTGGGATTACATGCACATGCCACCACACCTGACTTAAAATCTACTCTTTGTGTTTCTGGGTCAGGGTCTTGATATGTAGTTCAGGCTGGCCTTGAACTCATGGCGATCCTCCTGCCTCAGCCCCCCGAGTACTAGGATTACACCACCATGCCCACCAAAATCTACTATTTTAAAAGATAGCTATTTAAATAGCCATCTACTTCCATTCATATAAGAATATCATATTTGACATGAAAATATCCAAAACATATTTAAGAGATTTTTGATCACTATTACCTGGGATGTTTAGTAGGACTGTTCAAATTTTGCAATCTGACAACACCAAACATGGAACCAAAATATAACTCAATTCAGTGAACACAGAAACAATAAGGTGAAAGTATGAACAAACAATGAGTCAATCACCTGCTTTGTTTCCATCTGTCTATTCACAAAAGTGGAAATATGATGATAGGTAGAACTGCTGGTTTTCACTGAGGAAATTCTTTTTACTTCAATGTTCTGGAAAATGGAATATTAAAAAATACATAGTTTAGGTTAAAGGCATTAATTTTCACTTAGAGCTGGATCCAAATATTTTTTGCATTTTATAGTGTTGCGGTTTGTCCTCTCCAAAACTTAGTTTGAAATTTAATCTCCATTATGAGATATTAAGAAATGGGTCCCAGTGGGACCTTTGGAACATCAACTCATGAATGAATTCATCCTTTCAAGTGATTAATAGACTACTGGCTCTATGAGTTATTTCCAGAATAAGTGCAATAAAAGCCAGTATGGCTTGGTCTCTCACACATGCTATTTCTGGCCACGTGATGTCCATTATCAGCTTGGGACTCTGCCAGCAAGGCCATCACCAAATGCAGCCCTGCCCCTTTGGAACAGAAATGCAAGCCAAAATATATCACTTTTCTTAATGATTTACCGGGTCTGTGGTACTGTATTATTGGCAACAGAAAACGGATTAAAACAATCAGTAACTTCACTTGAGAGAAGCTAAATTCTGCTCACAATGAAATAAATCTCTTTTTTCCAGAGCTGTTATTTAAAGTTTAGTGAAAGTACCAAATCCAGTAGTACTTCAAAATATCTTCTAGGAACCTTTTTTTTTTCTCGAGGTACCAGGGATTGAACTCAGGATCTTGTGCTTGTAAGGCAAGTGCTGGGCCAATGAGCTAAATCCTGGGCCTAGGTGCCTTTAATGTAATCAGTCTCTCTTACCTCAGTTAAGAAGTTTACTTGAACTTCTTAAGTTACTTAAAAAGACATTGTTTTTGCTCTAGATTTTATCTGCCCATACTGGGGACTGAACTCACACATGCAAGGCAAACGGTCTACTACTGAGCTACATCCCCAGCTCTGAGACATTTCATTTTTAAATCTGCTGAATAAAGTAAGTGCTTACAGGATATGTCATATCAAATTACAATTACTTTACTGTATTTATAGGAAAAACACGCACTGTCCTGTCCATTTTTTCCCGATGACTGGCACTGAACCCAGGGCCTTTACAATGAGCTACATCCACAGCCCTTATTTCTTTTGAGACATGGTATCACTAAGTCACTAAGTTTCCAGACTGGACTAGACCTTGTGATCCTCCTGCTTCAGGCTCCCACACTTCCGGAATTAAAGGTATGAGCCACCATGTCTAGTTTTTCTATTTGATTTTTTGTTTTTGTCTTTTTTTGTACGGGAAATAGAACTCAGGGCCTTGCACTTACCAGGCAGGTGCTATGCCACTGAGCTACATCTCCAGCCTTTTTGTTTGATTTTTTGAAACAGGGTCCTGCTATATAGTCCAGACTGACCTCACCTCAGGCTCTGAGTATGGGGATTATAGTAGGCATGTCCCATGCATGGCTCTTAACTTTTTTCATAAGAAGTTGAAAGAAAAAGACTGCATATTTATGTATAATTCATACCTACAAAAGCACTTACACAGACAGTATTTTGTTTGATTTTTATAAATTTTTGATCTTAGCTTTTATGAACATTAGAATTATGACAAAGGTAATCAAAAGGCATTATGGATAAAATACTGCCTGCCTTTTATCATCTCAGATGGTACTGAGGGAGTGAGTGAAATATGACTCTTCCACCTGAATCTTGTATCAAATATTTTATGGCAGATGGAGTAATATAAAAGCAAGAAGGCTGACAAAATGTAAGATGTAAGAGAATATCTGGTACTTATTCTGATCATATATTCATAAAACATCCTTTCATATATAACTAAGATATCCTATATTTGTATGTTTTTTATTTCTAAACTTTAAAGATAAAAATAACTATAATTTTGATAAACATTTAAAAGCCATTTCAACAACCACAAGCTAATTATGAGACACCATACTTTTTAAAATTAAAATCAGATTCCACTTTACTTAGTAAATATTTTCTTAAAAATTAGCTCTAATCACAAACGTACACATTTTACTCCCAGAAACAAACCTTTCTCATTACCTTATCATTTTGAGTAAGGTTCTTAAATTTTGTTTTTCTGGTACCAGGGATGGAACTCAGGACCCTGGGCTTCCTGGGCAGGTGCTGCTGAGCTTCAGCCCCAGCCCCAAGGTTCTTAAATTTATCTGAACTTTAATTTCTTTTATTGACCGGGGTGGGGGGGGTTGGTTTGAAGCAGGGTCTCCCTTTGTAGTTCAGGATGGCCCTGAACTCACTATGTAGCCCAGGCTGGCCTTGAACTCGCATCGATCCTCCTGCCTCAGCCTCCTGGGTGCTGGAATCATAGGCATGCACCAACATGCCCAGCTCTGAATTTTAATTTCTTAGAAAATGGTGAATATTTGTAGTGAGAGAAAATAAAAAGGCAGAATTATAAACAGCTTTTAAAAGCTAAAACTATTATAGTTTTTCAAACGAAAAGTTTTTTCTGAGACCATGGGGAAACTGAACACATACTGGGATTAAGACAATACGGGGCCGGGGATTTAGCTCAGTGGTTCCAGCACCTGCCTGGCAAGTGCAAGGTCCTGAGTTCGATCCCTGGTACCAAAAAAAAAAAAAAAAAAAGACAATACTGGGGAAAATATTAGTATTACTGCTATCATTATTTTCAATCCTGGGAATTGAATCTAGGGCTTTTGCACTTAGCAGCATCCCCAGTCTTTTTTTTTTTTTTTTTTTTAAATAGGATCCTGCTAAACTGCACAGTCTGGGCTAGAACTTGCAAATCCCCTGCCTCACCCTCCCAGAGTGCTGGAATTACTGGCATGTACAACCATGGCAAGCAACTACTGTTTTTTTGGGTTTTTTTCCTAAAATCCTTATATATTAGAAATACATACTAAATGATTCATGGGCGAAATGATAGCTAAGATTCAAAGTATTCCAGATTTACTCATGCATTACTTATGTAATTAAAAATTAAGTTCAAACAATAATTACTTTGTCCTCCACTGAAGTTTAATAATAAAGTTGTCATAACCCAGTTTCTCTCAAAGTTCTAAGTAATTTACCTCAAAAGGAGCAGGAGGAGGAGGAGGCAAACTTGTAATTTTGGCAGACCTCTCTTTTTCTACAAGCAATGCTTCCTTCCGAGCTTTTATACGCCTTAAAAACAAGAAATGTCATCACTTAATCTTTCAGGTAATTTCTTAGGGTTAAAACACAAAGGCCAAGGAATCTCTAGAAGTCCTCCAGTCTGATCCCACAAACACACTCTATAATTTAATAAAAAGAGTCTAAGCTGAGCATGGTGGTGCATGCCTGCAATGTCAGCACTGTGGGAGGCTGAAGCAGGAGAATCACAAGTTCAAGGGCAGCCTGGACAACTTATTGAGACACCACCTCAAAATAAAAAATAGAAAATTAAAAAAGGTAAGGGGAGGGGCTGGGAATGTGGCTCAGTGTGAGCACTGTGGGCTCAATCCCTCGTACCAAAAAAAAAAAAAAAAAATCTATATACAGTGGACATAATGTAAGAAAATATTTACCAATTGAAAGAGATATAGTGGAGACCAACCCAGAAACATCTAATGTTTTTTTAGTATAGTTTAGTGTCAAAAAGTAGAAATGCTGAAAGAGATGGGCCACTATACAAAATGACCACTAGTGAGCAGTATGAGGCACAGTAAGTATTATACCATACAAAAAATATTAATGACTTCCAGAGTCTACAACCTCTTTTAATGTTCTGAATTACATTAATTTTTTTTCTTATGTAAAAGACAGGTTTTGCTTGATACACAAATACTGTCTACACACTGCTTCAGAAATTTAGTCATTGCTGCTAACCTCAGAATAAACAGAATCCAACTGGAAGAGAAAGGTCATCCGTTATTAGTTCATCTTAGCAATAATACTCCCTCTTGTATTATTTTTAAATCCAGTTTAACAAAATGCAATGGATATACTATATGACTTCTATATAATATCTACTTATACAGTGTGCTATGGATCCTCTACTTACAGCCTTGTTAATTTCAGTTGGGAATGTGATGAAAATGATTACGTTACCAGTTTTTTTGTTTCGTTAGTATTTCGTTTTGATTTTTCTGCATTTTCAAGGCCTCTTTATGCCTCATTTCTGCTTTTCTCTTCCTTTCTGCTGTTTGCCGTGCCAGAGCATCCAAATCAGGTTCCTAAAAATGTATATTACTTAAAATGTCAAGTTGAACAAGATTAATAGAAATGCATCTTATTTGATGTCAGAACAGGAATGACTTTTCAATTTTGTCAGCTCTTTTTACATACTACAGCAGTATTTCTCAAAGTGTGGTAATGGTACCTTGAACAATATATCAGGAGGGCCAAAACACACAGAATCAATGTAATTACTTAATATTATTATTTAAAAAATAGGACATAAAACTATTTAGGACACTGTTAAGTAATAAATGAATCCATTTAATTAAAATTAAAATGTCACATACATAGTGATTCCAGTAGCTTTCCAGCTATAGCAAAAATCATGACAGTTTTCTCATGAGATCAGTGACTGAAGTTTGGGTAAAACGGCACTCAAGCAGTAAGTTAATGGCGATACACACAGATATAAACTAAAACCAGGACAAAGAAACAGGCTGCCATATTGTTTAGACATTTTTTTCCCTAACTTGTTAGCAAAGGTTTATTTTCCTTGGAACCAGTCTGTTTACTGTTTGAGTCTGGGACTGCAAACTACAATTTTCTAAGCATAAATCACAATAAACAAATCAAAATAAGGCGGGGAGCAGTTTTAAATCCTGAGTTAAGTTCCACTTTGCCTTCCTGGAAGTCAACAAAGGAAGAAAAAAAAAAAAATATATATATATATATATATGTTCAGAGGTATTAGGAATGAAGCTGAAATGGGAAATTTGAATTCACCCTGCTGAATCTGTCCAAAATGTTTGAGACAATCACTTAAAAAGTTACTTGATTTATGTAGGTAAACAAGAACTAGAAGAGGATAATGCTAATTTAAATATTATAGGGAGAGAAATTTTACTTGGCTGAATTACTAGGAAATGAATATACTATTATTCTCAATTTATGTTAAATTGACAAAAAAAAAGCTCAGCCCAAAACAAATTCTATATACAAAAATACTTTTTTATACAAGAATTCAACAAAAATAATTTATTTTTACTACTATTACTGTTACAATCAGGTAGTCTAATAACTCTCACTCACATTTTCTTTGGCCTGTCGATGTCCCTCTCCCATATTTTTTAAACTTGCTAAATACAGTTTTTCCAAGTTCTGTATTTTTTGAGTTTGTGATTCTTCCCATTCTGCCCTTAGCTCCTCTGCCAAACGAGCAAATTGCTGATTTCTCCTCTGCTTTATGTCTTCTCTAATCCGTAAGGCAATATCCCTTTCTTGTTCTCGAACCTGAAGAATATTTAATGGATTATATGGAAGGAAGCTTAAACTTTTTTGAAAAGTTATTTGGAAACAAAAACTCAAATGCATTCTATTCATGTCTATCAAGTCTTCTGAATATTTACCTTATATTAGATAAGAACTATGTAAAGCAAAATTATCCAAGTAATATAGAAAAAATAAGAATCTCAGGCTGAGGATATAGCTCAGTGGTAGAGTGTCTAGTACATGTAGAGTCCTAGGTTAGATCCTCAGCGCTGCAAACAAAACAAAAAAAACCCCAGACCTCAAGACTACCTGATTAATTTTTCTGTTCCCCTAAACTCCTAGTGGCACTATATCACCCTAATAACGTATAAAATGCTAAAATGGTAAACATGATTCAAAAATGCATAGCCCAGAGGAGTACAGGTAGGGCCAGATGAGAATCCCATTTCTGCCATATACTGTCTTCAATTCCAGACAGAACAACACTTGAAACATGTTTCACAAAGACTTTAACTCTCTCATTTTTGTTAGAAAACAATCTATAACTTCCTAGTAAATTTGTCTCAGAAACTAATATTCTTTCCAATAAGTTTTCTTGAAAGTCATTCTAAACTTCCTTTTCTAATATTCATGTATTACAGACCATTTAAAAATATTTTCAAGTATATATGCTCTATTCGGCAGCACAGATACTAAAAAAATATATTTAAAGACTTAAAGTCAAATAATACCTATCCTCCATTCTCTTCCAACTTAATTTCCATTTCACTCTATTTTTCAAATGTTCCAAACCTAGTTTACATAAAAACTAGGGCTCCTATGCAGCCAGAAAAGGTTTTCAAATGAAACATTTCTTTTAGAACATTCTAAAAAAAAAGTACAAGTGATTTGGAGAATACAATTAAAACTTCATTCCAAATAAGTCATACCTGTAGCAATCTTAGTTTTCGTCTTCTTTCATAATCTTCCCTCAAAACAAAGGCTTCCTCATTAGGACTCAATCTCAGCTTGCCAGCATTCACTACTTTTCTCTTCATTTCTGTGTAATTTACATTAAAAGGATCTGAAACTAAAAAAAGTCTATAAAGACATGAACCATTGAAATAGATTAGCAAAAATTAAAGTTGTAAAAATTCATATTAAAACTTTTGACATTTAAAGGTGTATATACATGCAAATAGTCAAATATCCAATTTATTCATTATAAGCTACTATAAATCCTTATGCATAGTTCCCCTTTACCCCACATTTTTATCCATAAAAATCAGTGGCTTGGACTCCCTCTTTTTTCTTTAATTGTGTCTTTGAGTCTTTCTTCAACCTTGTCTCATACACTGAGCAGGAGACTGGAACCTACTGCAGAGGTCTCTGGTACACTATAGTAAACGCTCCTTCAATAACTGCAACTGTTTGATTTTTAAATGAATGACTTAAAAAAAAAAAACCCTTCTAAAATAAATTTTTTTGGATGTATCAAGTGATTCTTCTACTGGTACTTTTACACTAGATTTTAACATGCTCCTATCTGGGGGAGTATGGTAGGTAGGAATGGAAAGAAATCTAGAGTTTGGGGGCCGCAGATTTAGCTCAGTGGTTCCACTGCCTGCCTCCCTAGCACAACAAGGACCCGAGTTCGATCCCCAGTACCAAAAAAAAAAAATTCTAGAGTTTGTATATTCTGAAAACTCTTCTCACGTAATTCTGATATCACTTGTTCCTATTACTATCATATCCAAAGATTATATACTTCACATCAATACACAACCATAATTTTATCTGAGATGAGTCGGTATTTCTCAGGTCTTTCCACAATGACCAGGCAGGCAAACTTCATTACTGGATACGTACATCTCTATGAAGTTAACTTAAGCCACACTGCCTTCATTAAGGAGTCCTCTAGTAGTTCCTGTTCTACACATTCATTCCTGACTTGCCCACCTGTCATGTATATTATCTGTACCTTTACATAGGGACTAATTTCATGCCATCTTGGTACTATCGCCACTAGATTTTCAATTACAGTTTGTTCTTTGTAGATAGATTACTAACAATTGAAGATGGTAGCTATGGTTTTTACAAATTGTAATATTCAAGTAAATATAATAAGAATTATTCACATACTATGAATGAATACTATTTTTAATCAGGTGAAAATAAAATAAGGCCAGGAGACTGTGGGGTTAATAGGATCTCATAGCTTCCCAGTGAATTCTCTATTAGAATGTAGTCTCAGTGAAGAAAAGTATGGTCTCATTCACTGTTCTTTGCCCAAATTCTAAAAACAATGTCTCACACCTATGTAGGTATTCAGTGTGTTGACTGAACGACACATTCAGTCAGTTAATTCACATAAAGGATTACACCCAGGTACACACAGTCATTTCTACTAACTTCAACAGGACTCTGATGTCAAAAAAGTGTAACTCCATTTAATAAACAATCTCATGACCATGTCTTTTCTAATACAGGACAGTTCCTCAGTCTTTCATTTCAAGACTCTGACACTTAAAAAAAAAATACAGGCTAGTTCTTTATTCAGAACAGCTGAATTTATCTAATTTGAATTTATCTAATTTTTTCTTGTACTGGGCTGAGGTTAGTACTTCCACCAAGAACTCCACTGAAGTGAAGATGTACTCTTCTCAGAGCATCATATCAAGAGGTAAATGATGTCAGTATGTCTACTACTGGTGAAAGTTTGTTCACTTCATTAAGACGCATCTTACCAGCTTTCTCTATGGTAGCTACTACATTTCTCTTCATAAGCATCTGATGGATGGATAGTAAAGGCAACACAAATACTATGTTTCTCATCATACTTTTGCCCACTTAGCATATACTCACAACTGTTGTCTGACCAATTGCTGTGTTGTTTAGCAAATGTTATTTTGCATTTCTATTATTCCTTCTATACCTATCAATAGGAAAACTACCTAAGGAAGTATCCTTTGCTGCTCCACTTATTAAATTACTTATTCCTATACATGTGGGTTGTTTAATTTTACGTTTTATTACTACCTGATAAGGGAGATGATATTACATATTTCGAAAGATTGCATCCTGAGGGTTAAACCATACATGACACATGGTTATCACAAAATTGACACTAGACTCAGATAATGTGCATTCAAGACTCGACACTTCCACTTTGCAGGAAGTCAAGTTACTTGAGTCATTTTGGTCTCGTTTTCTTAATCTATATAAATGGAGTAATATCTACCCCAACAGATTGTTCTGATTATGTGATTTAATCATAATGAAACTGCCAAACACAATTTAAGTATTAAAAGACTCACTTGACACTTCTAAGAGCTGAGTTTGTCAAAGAACTTAATACCAGAGAAATTAACAGTGGCGGACCCCAAGAGAGTTCGCTCTTTGCAAGAAGGTCTCCAGGCAAGGATCTTAAGAGTCTACAGGGTTCCTGGCCACATTCTCGGGTGACTTGGAGTCGCGTTTGCAGCCGCGATCCTCACGCCGCCCCCAACGTGGAAGCTCAGGGACCGGGAGGATGCAGGAGAGGCCCGCGCGACCGGCCACGGGGGTGCACGCAAGCCCACCCGCTCGAGGGGGGGGGGGGGGGGTCCAGTCTGGATGCATCACCTGACCGGCGCTCGTCACAGCCGCCCGCCGATTGCAGCCAGGGCCAGGGCCTTCAGCCAGCCAAGGCCAGAGGGGCGCAGACCAGGCCACCTTCCGGGACCCCCTTTCTTCCGGGCACACTCCCATTTCCTGGGCCTCAGGGCGCCTATGCTCTCGTCACTCACCTGGGAACCCGAAAGCCAGGGTCAGGCGTTGTAATTCAGAGAAAGAAACCCCAGTAGACCCGGTTGCTCAGCTTCCCAACAACCATTTGTACGCCTGCGCGGCGGCCTGCACCGATCTCTCGTCACTTCCGTCATTCAAACCGTCCGCCAATGGCGCGACCAAACCGCGGGAATCGGCCTGGTCCCGCCTCTTTCTGGTCCCCCCGGAAGGCCGCGCTGCTGGAAAGCCTGGCGCACGCGCAAAAGCACTACTTAGACGTCTATTGTTTCTCGTACTTGCCAGTGCTTTGAGATTTACTTCGTCTCTGGAGTTGTGCTTCTTTTACAGCTCTACGAAGGGGAAGATGTTTGCCAGGAGCCATGAAGGTTACTTTAGTTTTAAGATCCCATCATGAAAGATGTCTTGAGCCCTACATCCTTTTATGTATTGACAATAAAATTCATTGATCCTATTATGTGCATTAAGTGATAACTTTTAGTCAAGGCTTGCAGCTCTTAAGAACATGAGTCCTATCATGTTACTCTGTACCTCTAGAGGTATTGCGCATCCAGAGCATGGCACGGACTTACATGCTATAAGTAACCTATAATCAGAGAGTGAGCACAGGTTCATACAGTACAGTATTTATTGTGCATCTGTTATTGCCAGGTGTTCTGTGCCAGGCACAAGAGAGACAAGGTTAAATGCATTATTACTCATCTAGATTTCACAGACTACAGGGTAAAACATATTAGGAATCAAAGAATTAGAAAATGAGGGTGAGGATGGGAGGTTTGGCTGCATTGTGAAGAGGTCAGAAGGCAATATAACTGATTAAAGTACTGTGGGAAATTAAATAGTATTGAGGATGGAGAGAAGTGGTTAGATTGAAAAGTCAAATAGGAGGTCAAATATCAGGAATTGGTGATTATATGGTTGTGAGAGGCAACTGAGTGATGGAGATAATATCCTGGTAGAACACGGGAAGAAGAGCAAATTGAGAAGTATGAAGTTCAGCTTTGAATATTTTGAATTTGAAGTATTTGGGGGATATCTATATAAAAAGATGAATTCCATAAGTTTTTGGTATGCACAATTAGCAGTATTTGAAAAACAGTTGGATTTGAGAGTGAGGGAAAAGAGAATAAAGTCAATATTACAAGTCATTAGCTTGGACAGCAGTGTTGATTCTTGATTCTCAAGGAAGAGATCAGGAAGTAATAGTATGTGGAGAGGTGTCTTAGTTACTTTTTCTCTTTGCTGAGACAAAATACTCAACACCCACAAGTTAAGGGAGGAAAGTTTTATTTGGCTCACAGTTGTAGAGGTTTCAGTTCATAGTTTCCTGAAAGGCAGGGCGACATAGCATGGGGGCATTGCAGAGGATAAACAGATCATGGCAAAGCAGGGCAGGCAGCAAGCAGCAAGCAAGTGACCAGCAATAACCACATCAGCCCATTTTCTATCTCTTAGGGTGGGTGGCACTCACACCCTTAACCCCATCCTTGATCACAGTATCACACACCCTCGATCCAGCCACCTCCAAAAAGCTCCACCTATGATCCCATGAGGCTTTGGGGGGGGGACATCTATACAAGCCGTAACAAGAGGTCTGCACATTTTGAATTTCAGATACCTGTGGAACATCCAGTGATGTGAAACAAATAAACAAATGCTTTGGGAAAGAGCCCTCAGAAAGATTTAGGCTAGGTATACAGGGGGTTCATTGTCATATGAATAATAACAAAAGCACAGGATCACTTAAGGATAATTTGTGGAGTGAGAAAGCAATAAACTAAGGACCAACCTAAGGAGCACCAAACATAAAGACAGAGTGTTGAAGAAAGGAACTTTTAAGCAGCTAACAAAGGAATGCTGTGATCTCACCTTGCATTTGCAGACTAAGAAACAGAGAGTCAGTGACTTCACCAAGAATACATGTTAAATGAAGATTAGACTTCATGATTCTTCCCAAACAAATATTTCAGTTCTTCCCTGCCTCCCTTCACCATTTCTGTCACATTTATCCTGATGGATAATTGTATTTATTTAAAACATATCTTCAACCTCCTCAACACAGATTCAGAGATACCCTTTTATACCCAACAAAAATAAAGCTATTATTTCATGCCTTGGGCTTGGCTAACACCCAGCCATGGCTGCCAGAAGCACCCTGCACTATTCCCACCATGACATTGTGAGTTCTTATTGAAATGAGCTGTTTGTGAAGCTCCTTGTTGATTAGACTTCAAGCCCTCTGAGAACCAGGAGTGCATTTTGCTTAGTTATCTGACATATAGAGCTTCTCAGTACTGTTCAACAGCTGAACAAATGAAGAAAATATATGCTCCACTTCCCCAGCTGGCATCCTGGGAAAAAATTCTACAAATGGACATTCTGAATTTAAGCTTGTTCTGTTTTTAATAGCAAACAAAAAAGAATGTAAGAAACCCTCATGAGCTTGAGTCAGACCATCTGACTTAGCATTACACCTCTGATATTTTCTAACTGAAACCTTAAACCAATGAGCTTTAGTTTCTGATTTGTTTCTGTATTGCTGCCAATCAAACCACCCTGGAATGTCCAAAATGGCTCATTCATTTTGGCCAGCAGTTGATGTTTTCTGTTAGCTGAGAGCTTAGCTGAAACTGTTGACTGGAGTGTTTACCTGTGCCCTTTCCATCTGGATTGGACATCTCAGTCTCTGGTGGCTAGGTTTTGAGAGGGAGTGTCCTAAGAGTGAGCATTCCCAGAGAAAGTGGAATTGCAAGTGCTCTGGAAGATGAGGCTGAGGAGAAGTTGTAATAAGTTCTCCCACATTTTATGTGTTAAGTATCACAGGACCAGCTCAGATCCAAGTAAAAGGAATATGAACTCCATCTCTCAACAGAGTGATAGAGAACTTATGACCATCTTAATCCACCATTGTTTCTTTAGTAATACTTGATCTGCTCTCTTCACAGGATGGTTGAGACTCAAAAGACAAGAATCGTATAAGAACACTTTGTAAACTCAAAAGGGGTATATAAATATTAGGTAGGCTAATGACAATTTTATTTTTTTTGGTCTACAACATTTCTCTCCTCCTCTGATGCTGACCTAGCCCTGCAGGATATAGGGGAAGGCATGTGACCCAGACTGGACAGATTGAAGTTCTTTGTCACCCTTGCAGTTATATCTGGGTTTAGGCCAAGGACAGGCACATGACCTAAAATGAGCCAGTCAGTCGTTCACAGTAATTTTTTTTCTAGAGCCAGGAGAAATGAATATTTTTTCTCTCTGGGCTCATGTTAAGATATGAATATGGAGCTTCACCAAGGAAATTCTCCACCATGGCATCCCTCACAAGCTGGTCTGAGAGCATGAATCTCACGTAAAGCAAGGAGCTCAGAGAGGGAGTCCTAATAGTGTTCAAGTCTCTGGATCCAACCATCCCTGAGATCAGCAGTACACCTTCGCATTCTGTATCCTACAGGAACCATTAAATCCCTCCTTTTATTTAAGATGCTTTGAATAGGAGCTTTTGTCTATTTGTTTTTTCCAGTAACTAGAGATTGAACCCAGGATTTTGCACTGAGCTATATCCCTAGCCCTTCTTTCATATTTTGAGGCAGGTTTTCCCTAAGTTGCCCAGGCTGGATTTCAACTTGTCATCACCTGCCTCAGTCTTCCACAGTGCCAGGATTACAGACATATGCTATCTCTCCTAACCGGGAGTTCTTATGGTTTTCAAATTAAAAGACGCTAATGGGGAGCCGGGGATTTAGCTCAGTGGTTCCGCCACGTGCTTCGCAAGCATAAGGTCTCAAGTTTGATCCCCGGTACCAATAAAATGGAAAAAAAAAAAAGCTAATGGTTTATGTTTAAGTTCTTATAGACATATAACATCTGGGCATCTTGGGAAATAGAACAGAATAATGATTAAAATTTTGGACCTACAGTCCACCTGCCTAGATTTAAATTTCTGGATTAGGTGCGCCCTCTCCCTCGGCTACAACTGCCGCCTACTTCTGCTGCTCCTGGAGCTGCTTGTGTGCTCATTCGGTGCAGACCTAGTACCGCTTTTGTGAAGCAGCAGCTGAGAAGACTTGGAAGCTCCCTATGGCAGACGAAAAGCCCAAGGAAGGAGTCAAGACTGAGAACAATGATCATATTAATTTGAATGTGGTGGGGCAGGATGGTTCTGTGGTGTAGTTTAAGATTAAGAGGCATACACCACTTAGTAAACTAATGAAAGCCTTTTGTGAACGACAGGGTTTGACAATGAGGCAGATCAGATTCTGATTTGATGGACAGCCAATCAATGAAACAGACACACCTGCACAGTTGGAAATGGAGGAGGAAGATACAATTGATGTGTTCCAACAGCAGACAGAAGGTGTCTACTGAAAAGGGAAACTGCAACAACTCTACTCCAGAACTCTGTTCTTACACACCAAGAATACATTCTCAATTAGAAAACTGCAATTTGGTTCCACCACATCCTGACTACTACAGTATAGTTTTCTCTAGTCTTTCATTTACCCCTTCCCCCCTCCTTTATTGTACATAAAGTATCTGGTGTATGTGAACAAGGATATTGCATTTTTTTTTTTTACTAAATGGCCAACAATATGTTTTGATTGACATCAGATGGAGACAGGATGGGGAGATACTGGTTCTGTGAAAATAATTCCCTCTCTCCATTAATGGCATGCTCATCAGCTCTTACCTTTATATTCCAGTAAGTTATTTTGCTCTCACTGTTTTAACAGAAAAGACAATAACATGCAAATCCTTGCATACCCTGTTTGATTGGAGAATTTTAATGTTTTTCATTTATCATTGTAAAACCAAGGACAATTTTATAACTTTTTTGTACATAGCTATTAAATGTAGGGCAATCTGTCTTTATGTAGGAGTAAATTACTCATTAAAAGAAAAGGAATCCTAGATAGTTTTCCCTTTAAGTCAAGTGTCTTGTTTAAATAAACTTCTTGTTTAAAATGAAAAAAAAAATTTCTGGATTACCAAGGCTGACTTTGAGCTACTTACTGAACCTGCTTAAAAGTCAGTTTCCTACCTCTTAAAGTAATATGATAAAAGTACTCAAAATTTGTCATGAGGTTTAAAGCTGTTTAAGGCTTTAAAAATATTTTTAAAAATAAAGCTTTTAAAATAA